CTCCCCGCCCCCCCACCGGCTCCGGGGTTCACGCTCCACCCCCCCTTTACCGGGGCAGATCCCTTTGCCCCGGCCCCTCCTCCGCTGCCCGGTGGCCGGGTCCTCACCGGCGCACACTGGGGTCCCGCCTTCCCCGCCGCTTCCGTTTCCCCCACATCCTGGGCTGTGCCCCACGCGCCCAAACGTTCCCGCTGCCTTGAATTCCTCCGGGGAGACAGGCCTGGCCTGAAGCAGAGACTGTCCCCCCTCCTTCCTCCAGGACCAGCCTCTCTTCCCAGCTCTTTGTCCAGTTCTCCCTCAGGTCGGGGAGGGTCGCACAGACAGACTGGTTACCAGCTCTGGGCGGGGCTGGGTCTCCACTGACTTTATGAAGCCGAGTGGGGGCAGAGAACTGGGGTGGGGGTTCAAAGACTCCAACGCAGTCGTCCCTGGAACCCTTCCTAAACCGCCAGTCTGCGAAGTGTCACCTCCAGCTGCAAAGAAGTAGTTCAGGAACTAAGCATTCCTGAGGGCATCCTCAGGCCCTGAGTCCCCTCTACGTCCATCTGTCTGTCTGTTCTTGTCTGTCTCTCTATCTCCATCTCTCTGTCTGTCTCTGTTTCTCTGTCTCTGCCTGTCTGGCTCTCTCCGTCTGTCTCTCTCAGCGCTTGGTCCAAGAAAACTTTCTGCGGCAATGGAGTGTTCTGTGTGGGCCATCATGCGGCCACCAGCCACCTGCGGCTATGCAGCAGTTGAGATGTGATTAGTGCGACTGAGAAACTGAATTTTAAATTCTGGTATTTTCGTAAATGTTAGTGGCCATGTGTGACGGTCACCGCCACATTCCACGGCACGGCTACACTTAATGCATGTTCTAAGTTCCAGTCCATTTCTGGTCTCCAGGGAGAAGCCATGGCCTCGGCCAGCACGGCCAAGAAGATGAGGGAGGAGGCCACGTGCTCCATCTGCCTGAATCTGATGGCCGAGCCAGTGAGCATCAGCTGCGGACACAGCTACTGCCACTTGTGCCTGGTGGGGTTCCTCGACAACCTGTGCTACACGCAGCCCCAGCTGGCCAAGTTCTCCTGCCCGCAGTGCCGGGCCCCGTTCCGCAGGGCCAGCCTCCGGCCCAACAAGCAGCTGGGGAGCCTGATCGATGCCGTCAAGGAGCTGGACCAGGAGGCGTGGTGCAGGGAGCACGGGGAGCAGCTGCAGCTCTTCTGCGAAGACGACGGCCAGCTCATCTGCTGGCTCTGTGAGCGGGTGGCACGGCACAGGGGCCACAGCACGGCGCTCGTGGAGGATGCGAGCCAGGGCTACCGGGTGAGGGGTGCGCTGCGTGGGCCGCGCCCCGGGAGCAGGCAGCCGAAAGGCCGAGGGGGCGTCCTGGAGCACGGGTCCCGCCTGGGGGATGGGGTCGTGGCTCCTGAAGGACATGTAGAAATGGACCGTGCGTGAACAGAGTGGAGGGAAGTGGGGGGCGTTCCCCACAGGGGGACCACGGGGCGGGGAGCGCAGCCGGCTCGCGGTGACCGGCCTGGTGTGTGGAAAGGCAGCGGTCGCTCAGAAGCTGGTGGGTGTCAGCTCGGTCTAAGCGCGACCTGGTGTGGTGCCGGCCGCCAGGGACTTGCGCACACGGAGTAAGAATCCGACTCTGAAAAGAGTGTTTGGTGGTGACTGAGGAACAGGAGCTCTGGGGAGTGAAACCCACATGTTTACAGTAAGGCTGGGGACGGGCGGGTCTGAGCCAGATGCGGGAAGGGGAGGGTCAGGCCGCTCCCGGGGGCGGACCGTGGGCATGAGGCGTGCACAGTCCTGCTGCCTGGCTCGCTCTCGCTCTGGGCCCTGCCTGGATTCGAGGGTAACGTCCCTAGGGTGGGCCTTGTCCCCAGGGGGCCTCCTTGTCCCCCACGTCCTCACACTTCACGGGGCAGCTAATTATTGTAACGGGGTCACTCCCAGCGGAATTACTTTCACATCCGGTAGTAGGAAGAGGTGACGGTTAGGGGCCTCGGCCCCAGGTCTGCTGGGTTTGAGATCTCAGTTCTGCCACTTCCCAGACGGGTGACCCTGAGCGAATTCCTCGATGTCTTCGTGCCTTGGTCTCCCCGTCTGTACACGGGGAGAAGGGCAGCCCCCTCCCTCCCCACACGCATGCCCGGGAGGCTGCCGCCGGCTCGAAGCACAGTCACTAGGGACACAGCGGGCGCGTCGCGGCCCTTTCCTGAGGGCACTGGGGACGCAACGAGAGTCCGTGTGCGCTTCCCAGGGCACGGGAGCCGGTTCTGGTCGCTTCGACCACAACTAGGAGTTTGGTTCAGCTTAAAACTGCTTTCCGTGAAAATGTGAGAAACTATTCTGAAAAACGACCAAAAACTGGGCACGGGTTCTAAGTTGCGAACCGGATGCACGGGGCCGTTCTTCGGGTGTCGGTGCTCCCCTCCTCCGCCGTTTCCCACGTCGCCCCCGACTCACCGCACACACACGACCTCCGGCCCGAGTCCGCTGAGCTGCTCGCTTTTATCAAACTTTCTCTTACTCGCCTCTTACCGCGCTCTGTGGCCGTGTGTCCCCGGAGGCTCCGGGTGGGCGTGAGGCCAACGTGTCCCCGGAGGTTCTGGGTGGGCGGTGAGGCCGACGTGCGCCTCGCTGGCAAGTTCCTCGACCCCGCCCCAGCCTCCCCTTCCACAGCACAGAGGCGACGGCCAACATCCTGCCGACGGCTCGGGATTATGGAGGGGCCGCGCTCGTCCCCGCACACAGCGCCCTCGGCAGGCCTCCTGGCCGAGTTCTAACAGTCTCCGGGGGTTAGGATTCTCCCCAAGTGCCTCATGAAGAGCTGCCAAGTTCAATCGCCCCTATTCCCCCGCCCTTCTTCCAGGAAAAGCTGCAGGAAGCGATGGCCAACCTGAGGCACCTGGAGGAGGAGTGTACGAGTCACACGGCGGTGACGGCACAGCAGATAACCGAATGGAAAGTAAGAGCCGGGCTTTGCCGACCGCGGGCTGTTTTCCGTCCTAGTCTCAGCGCGTAGACGTGGGGGGTGCTCGGGCAGAGCGCGGCGATGGCTTACTCTCCCCGACAGGTGGTGGGCGGCACCCCGAGAAGAAGCCGCCCCTTGCTTTCGGGTGCGCGGTTGTCTGCGCCTTCGAGCACATCCCTCCTGCCCCTGCCCCGACCCCCACTAGGGTTCTCGGTGCCGCAGTCGGGAGAGGTGGGCGGTCATACGGCCTCGCGGCCGTGCCCCCGGCTCTGAGCCTGTCTCCCTCGGGTGCTCTCCTTCACAGAGGACTTTGTGGGGCCCACCGGCTTGCAGTCCAGTCTCGCTGGGCGGCCAGTGAGCCACTGTGCCTCGCTCGGAGGCCCCTTCGCACCTCTTCCCTGCCTCTGAAGTCTCGGGGCACCCCTCCTTCCCGCGGTCCCGGCATGGGGAGGCTCTTGGTTATAACGAATGCATATGGAGACACTGGCGGTGACCCCGGTACCCGACCCCAGTGCATGAATTGAGAAAGCGCCAGTGGAAACGGCAGTCCTGTATCCCCCAAAATGAAAGCCGAGTCCCCCAACATGTTCCATTTGGTTGTGGTCAGTCTTACACGTAGAGGTGACTAAGGGGTCCTGGGCCAGGGACGGCTACTTCCTCTGCCACCCGGACTTCCCCCGCTGAGACTTACAGACCCTCCGATGGCCTCCCGGCCTGAAGTCCAGTCCTGGCGTGAGAGTCATTACCAGCTTGTGCTCAAGGAATTCCCCAGGCTCAGACCAACCTTACGGCCCTGACAAGAACTCAGGCTGTCTCCGTAACCGATGGTGTCGGACCTTGGCGCCAGTGCCACGATTAAATTACCTCGTGCTCCTGCCCCTTGTCACCCCCACACCTTGGGAGAAATAGAAGGAACTTAATCGGGGCGGTAGGGAATCAGGACAAGGCCTCCCACGCCCGAGCGCTGCCTCCCAGGCACGCCTGCCGCCGGGGACTGGGGACACCCTTCCAGCTCATGGCTCAGGTGACACCAGGGCAGTCACGCACACTTCCTGGGTAGGCGCGTGTGCGTTAAAATATCCATAACGCAAAATTTGCCTTTTCAGCCGTTTTTAAGTGTGCCATTTTTAAGGACTGTCAGACTGTTGTGCAGTTGTCACCTCCACCCACCTCCAGGACTTTCCTTCACCCCCAAATGAAACTCTGTCCCCATTCAACACGGACTCGCCGTTCCGCCTCCCAGCTCCTGGTAAACAGCTTCTGCTTTGCGTCTCCGACGTGACCACTCCGGGCCCCTCGCGTAGGTGGCACGATGCAGCAGTTGCCCCCTTGTTTCTGGCTCGCTTGACTTAGCGTCGCATCTCCAGGGTCCCTCCATGCCATGGCTCGTGTCAGGGTTCCTTCCTGGGTAAGGCCGCAGGGCGTTCGCGTCCAACAACCACCCTGTCATTCGTGCATGGGTGGACGCTGGGTCGTTCCCACCTGTTGAGCATCCTTTCTCGACTCCAGGAGAAGATGAAGAATCGGAGACAGAAAATCCAGTCTGACTTCAAGAACATGCAGAGCTTCCTGCGGGAGGAGGAGAAATGTTACCTGTGGAGACTGGAGAAGGAAAATGAGCAGGTTCTGCGGAAGCTGCGGGACAGTGCGGCCAGTCTGGGCCAGAAGAGCCACGAGCTCGGGACCTGCATCCTGGAGCTGGAGCGCAGGTGCGCGGCCTCGGCCCAGAAGATGCTGAAGGTGAGGGGGCGGGAGGGCTGCGCCCCGGAGGGGAGGGCGAGGGAGCCGCCTGCCTGGGAGGCCGGCGCATCCCGGCGGCCAGGCACAGTGTGGCCAGGCACGATGCTGCTTCTCGTCGCTCCGGGCGGCACATCCCGGCGGCCAGGCACAGTGTGGCCAGGCACAGTGCTGCTTCTCGTCGCGCCGGGTCGGCATCTGCAAGGCTGCTCCCCGGGCTCCGCGGGTGCCTTCGTGTGCGTCAGATACGGCCCTCTGGGTGGGTGCAGTGGGCTCCCTGGCCGGAGGGAACGAGGACCACCTTTGACAGCAGCTGCCTGTCCCCTGCGCACAGAGCCTGAGGCTCCCGGGACACTGCTGGGTGGGGTGGGGGGAGCGGCGACCTCCCTGCCCGGAGTGATTGTGGAGCCTCCCAGACACCCTGAGGCCGGCGGGGCTGGTGCCCGCCCCTGGACCATGACACCCCAGTTCCCGCGAACCGACCAGGGGCTGCACCACAGGCCGAGAGTGCACGCGGCTGCTCCCCACCCTGTGACGCCGCTGCCTGTGGCCTTGGCGCCTGGCCCCTGGGGCTGCGCGGATCCACCCGGAGCCCCGTGTTGGTGATCCCCAAAGGCAGTTAGGTCCTTGATAGCACGTCTTGCCAGAGGGAGCGCGAGCGAAGCTCCCGCAGCCTGGGAGGAGGGTGGACGCCTGCCATGGCCGCAGCCCAGGGCGCCTGGCTGGGAATCATCCCGTCGGGCTGCATCTGCTGGTACCTCTGGCCGGGGGCTCTTTCACCCCGAGAGGAGTGTTTCTGGGGGCCAGATGCATGTGTGCAGCTCCGCGGGGGCTCATGTTCCCACACTCACCTTTGTCTCTCTCTGTAGGACGTGGAGGACACTTTGAGGAGGTGAGTGTGTGAGGACGCAGGAGGGGAGGTCACGGGGCCCAGAGCGATGGACGCGCCACGGAGAAGCCTCGGGTCTCTGCTCCTTCCAGGATTTGGGCTGTGAAGCTGGAACCGCCGGAGGACCCCCCCTCGGAGGTTCAGACTGTGTGCGACGTCTCCCAGCTTTACCTGGACGTCAGAGGGCTGCTGAGGCGCCACCAAGGTACGGGAGGGAGTCTCGGGCACGAAGCGCGGGCCGATGACCCGCCTCCCTGCCTTTTCGTTGGGCAGACGAGCCGGTTTCTGCTTCATGAGTCACAAACCCAGGCTCGCACAGGGTCAGAATCAGTGCGGGCTGGTGTCATTTCAAACGAACTGCTCTTGGGGACCAAAAAAAAAAAAAAAGGCCTTTTTTTCCCCCTTCAGTCAGCGTGACTCTGGATCCAGATACAGCCCATCGTGAACTCATTCTGTCCGAGGATCACAGACAGGTGACTCGGGGGTACCCCCAGGAGAACCTGGACGCTTCTCCCAAGAGATTCGCCACCTCCCCCTGTGTCCTGGGCCGCGAGGGCTTCCACTCAGGACGATACTACTTCGAAGTGGACGTGGGCGAAGGAACCGCGTGGGATTTGGGGGTCTGCTTCGACAGCGTGCAGAGGCACACTGACACGGAGCCGCAGCCCCGGTCCGGGTTCTGGGCCATCAGGCTGTGCGCCAGGGCTGGCTACGTGGCGCTGACGTGCCCCGTCACGTCGCTCCCGCTGGCGGAGCAGCCCCTGGCCGTGGGGGTCTTCCTGGACTGCGAGGCCGGGCTGGTGTCCTTTTACAACACAGCCACGGCCTCCCACATCTTCACCTTCCCCAAGGCCACCTTCTCCGACACGCTGCGGCCCTACTTCCAGGTCCATCAGTATTCTCCTCTGTTCCTGCCTCCCCCAGACGTGGTCGCTGACAAGCAGGAAACCGTGTAAATGCCGTTAAGGCGGAATGCGGGTGGTTTTCTCCGCTGCTGCTTTCCCGTGGCGAGACCAGCGCCGGGCTTGTAGTGAATCCTTAATAAACGCACGTCGAATGATGGCTGTACGGACTGGAACACTGCGGGTGGTCGCTCCGAGCTGGACAAAAGCGAGATCGAGCTGTGATCACTCGGGTCCCTCCACCCCCTTTCAGTGGGTTCAGCCGAGTCCCAGCAGGGTGGCCCAGAGGTCAGGGGACGTGGGTCCTCCCAGTGTGACGTGATTTGACCCACTGGATGACTGAGAGACCCCAACTTTATGCAGAAGTGAAGGCACAAGCTGGACAAAGACGAAGGGGAAGCCCACTTTACACAGATAAAGTGTGGGCCCTGGTACCCGACCGGTCCATCTTTATGCAAATGAGGAATCCAAATTGGCACAGTTGGATCGGTCCCAATACCACTGTCCTGAATGGTCGATATGATTGGTCAATATGAAGCAGCTCTGATTGGTCGGTAAAGAAGCAGATGTGGCTAGAGCTCTAATTGGATGAGGCAGACTTCAGCCCATTGGTCAAATTACAATTCCAGGAACTCCTTTATAAGAGTGAGCTCAGCTGGCAGAAGCCGTGCAGGAAGCCGACAGGTCAGCCTGGGGCTTTCTTCTGAAATGCAGAGTGAGTAAGAGGTCTTGGCCAGCAATGGCCATTCGATTCTTGGTTATGAATTTGAGCCCAGTTAAGTAAGAGGAATCCTTCTCGGGAGTTGTCTTTCTTCTCAAGGTTCACGATACCTAGGATGGTGCTTAGTTCTGTCACCCCTGAGGATGAACGTGCCTGTTAAGACTCCTGGAGGCGGATCGAGCTCAGATTTATAAACAGCCTAGTAGGCATTGTCAAACGGGACTCTGTTGCGCTCTGCACGTCAGGGAGACGCTGCTCTGAGCTGCCCGCCTCCTGCACTGTGCTTCTGCCTTCGGGCCGCCTTTATTGAGGAGTTCTCGGGCCCCTAAATTAACCAATGGGCTGAAAACCTGCCCCAGTTCCCTCCTTCAATCTGAAAATTCGAGACAGTTCTATTTTGGTTTGTGGCCAATGCCTTGCCTGGACTCACCCAATTAGACATTTACATCTTCAGCCAACCAACCAACCAACCAACCAGAGCAGCTCCTTTTGATGAATCAGGCTGGTGTTATTTGGACCAAACTGTGAGGATTTGGAGCCCTCATTTGCATAGAAGTGGACAAATCAGGGACGGGCGGGCAGTCTCTCTTATATATGCCAGCTTCGCAAGTGTGTGATATATACTTAAAGATGCAAACACTGTTCTACTGAGAGGCTATTATACAAACAAAACAGGCAGCGCTAGTAAGTTATACTTAATGTGACCTTCATAAACACGTCACATGTTGAAATTATTCTGTTTTTAGTAGCTGCCATTAACTCACTGGGCACCTGGCGTGAGTCACTGTATTGTGTCATTTTCTTATTTGCTGAACCAGGGGATAGGAGGCGGCCCCTTTAAGGAGCGTGACAGGCACACACCCGAGGTTCTAAGATTGTACAACGGCCACCTGGAGAGATGGGACCAAACGTGAGAGCGAGGGCAGCGTGGCCGGCCTCCCTGTGCTAGGCACCCCGGGAGCACGTGGAACAGCTTCAGCCCACAATCCCCAGTCTGCTTGGGCTAGGCGAACACTTCCCCTTGAAGCCCTGCACGCTTACACTGTGCTGTCACCCATTTAACTCGTCGTCTAGAGGGGCTGGCTTGTTGCCTCTAGGAAGGCTCCAATCAGCCGCAAATCTCCGGAGTTTTACCTTTTGAAGCGTTCTTGGCATGTCCTAGAGAAGGCTCTAGGTGCGTTGGAGCAGCGGGGAGCCTCAGACGCACCAGAGGAGATGGGATGAGACGGGACGGGAGAGAATCGTGGGCTGAAGGAGGGGGTGCTGAGTGAAGGGACCTGGCTGGAGGCACGAGAGGATGGAGCAGCGGCAGCGTGTCCCGAGGGTGCACAGGGGGCTGTGATTCGTCCTGCACGCAGAGAGGGTCCCGTCCCCCGAGACAGGTTCCCCCCTAAACTCTTAGGTTAGCAGCAAATCTAGAGGAAACATAAACCCATGGCCCAGAGGAAGGAGCCGCCCCCACCGCTGCGGGCGGGCCCGGTGCTCTGGGTGTAGACCGTAATGACGTGACTGACAAGCCATACCTCGCAAATATCACACACATTTCAAAGGGAGCAGCGGTGGTTCCTCGAGGACTAAGTTGGCCCTCTCTCTGGTCATCAGTGTCAGGAGGGGAGGAAGCAGCCCGAGCCCAGTGAGACCAGCACCCAGCCCGCTCAGCACCCAAGCACAGAGCGAAGCCTTAAGGAGGCACAGGGCTTCCCAGCTGCAGGACTGTCGACACCCCAGTTCCCTCCTTCCGTCTGAAAATTCGAGACAATTCTATTTTGGGCCCTGACTGGACTCACATGCGGCTAGACGGGACACGGGCACCTGTCAGAATCCCACCGCCCGTAACCGCAGGGCCTGCTCTCATCGGCAGGTCAGGGCTGCTTGGGATTCTTCACTCTTGGTTACTTGCGCAGTGTAACGGGAGGGCAGCCGAGTTCCGGCCGGTGACCGACACAGGAGTCGGGCTACTTAGAATGGGCGTCGATTGTCAGAGCACCGGCGGTCAGAGGGCAGCAGGTGATCACCTGCAGAAACGGCCTTCTCGTTTCAGTCCGGCTTAGGGTATTTAAGGGACAATTTGGGCATTATTCCAGCGGCTGCAGGAAGGTTTCACGGAGCCTCCCCCTTGGCAACGTGGCCCTCCGGTGGCAAAGATGGGAGGAGCCTGGAAAGAATGCTAGACCGTAAAGATGGTGATGGGCGAGCATAGGGGCGCTCATCGTGAGTTTCAGGGCGACTTTCTCTGGCAGGGGACAATGAAGGAAAAGTGAGGCCGGGGACACTGAAACTTCCTACGAGGGTGACAGAGGGTGCCTTCTTCATAATCCCTTACGAGAATAGAAGCTGAAAGTGAGGGGGAAATGGCCATAAAATGAGGAACGAAATGTTGCTGATGTCGAAAAGTGACTGCTACCGAGCGTACCGCTGTCCCCTGCCAGCTCTGCCTCCCCTCCCTGCAGCAGGCCTCCGTCCCCCATTACTTCAACCCTTGTGTCCTGTTTCCGTATTTCCAACTCCTGTGTCTAATGACCTTTCTGAACTGTAAATAAACCTTTGCCTTTTCTGCAGCGATACCCAGATGGTTGGATGTGGCTGATGAAAAACAACTAACTGAATTTTTTGGCCAGTGTTACTGAACCAGAGGAAATTACCCAAAGAGCATATTCAAACAGCCGGTTCACTTAAAGAATGCACTAGCGGCCGCGGTCATACCAATCAAAGCGACGACGCGAAATAGTTTTACACGCTTTAGGCCGACAGATTAATAAGGCCACAAGCTCGATGGCTGGAATGGGGGAGGAAGAGCTATTTCCAGGCAGCGTCAGCACCAGCCGAAATGCAAAATATGCTCTAATCTCCCAACCTCGGCGCTGGGCCGCTGTTACCGCGCCAGAGTCAGCAGCGACAGCTGGAAACCACGTCAGTGCTTATCAGTAAGGAATGGGTGAAGGCGTCATGCTGCTCTACGTGAAGGGCATTTTAAAACGATGATTTGACTTGAAAGGATTTTCCTGAGGGTTTGTCAAGACAAAAAGCAACAGGCAGAGCAGCGTGTATAACATCACCATTTTGCAATTAATAATAACGACCCTAACGGAAAAACAAAATACTCACGCACACCTGCGGGTAGACGCATGGAAGAGGGTTTCGGAGGGCAGAAACAGTACCTCCCGGTCCCGGGAGCGGGCGTGGGGATGCGAAGGAGGGAGCCTCACAAAACAATGGGGAAAAGGCCATTAAAAAAAAATTAGAGCATTGACTCTTAAACAATTTATGTGCACATGTGTAAAAATAAAGTTTTACAACTAATTGAGCTGCATTAAGTAAACATGGAAACCTGGCTCATACTTTTTTTTCCCCCTGGGGTATGAGAAAAGGCATTCTTAAACCCTGAACCCCAGAATTAAAATCTCTACAGCTTAAAGGAACAGTTCTGAGAAAGTGTCCCCAACTATTTAATGTGGGGTAGTGCCGCCAGGGCTGAAAATCCTGCGGTTGACGAAATACAATCTGGTGGGCAGAGAGTAGGGATTTCAAATATTACCCCATCCGAGCAGTTGCTTCTATGAACACACACAGGGCAAGAGCTTTGGGGCTTTAGCTCTGAAACTCCATTGCATCGCGAGCTCCTTTGTCCCGATTGTGGGTGGAAACTAGGGGACAGGCAGCAAAGCCTCCCAGGGGCGGGCTCCACGCAAGCAGGAGGGTGGTGTGAGGACGCTGCAGGCCAGTGAGGCCCACCTGGTGGACAGCAACCTGTGCACGTCCAGACCAGCGAGCCACCACCACGCCCAAGGACAGCCAGCCTGCCACATCCGCGGGGGTCACGGAGCCGTGGGTTTCACCAATTACCCCCCAAAGGCCTCAGGGCCACCTGGTTTTGGAAAATATTGTTTCAGCAATACCGACCTGCTTTGACCAGAGACTACCACCTGCAGACGAGGGGGGACGTGGGACCACAGCTACAGGTGGTCACCACGGATGGCTAGTTCTGGGCATGGGACCCATGGATTCTAAATCCTAAAAAGCCTCATAAGAACGAAGGACTAGGACGTGGCTCCCTCACCTTGCACTTCAAACGACCTCGCTTCACTAACCTGTGACCTGTGGCGAATTTCACACTAAGATCCCTGTCCTGCTGGAGAACAGTGCGCTTGGGTGGGGGGGGGCTGGTCTCACCTCAGTGTCCAGGTGTGCGCTCAACCCTTCCTGGAAGTATGTTGGTGGCTCTTAAAAGAGCCGTTGGGTTATTGGGACAACGAGGTCTAACGGGGACTTTTATTTCTTCTTGGGCGCTGCCTTCTTCGGCTTGGCAGCAGTCTTTGGCTTGGTCACCTTAGCCTTGGCCGCTTTGGGCTTCACGGACTTGGCTTTGGCCGGGCTCTTAGCTACTTTCTTGGGCTTCACGGCCTTCGGCTTCTTGAAGCTCTTAGAAGGTTTCTTGGCCACTGCAGGCTTCTTGACCTTCTTGGGGCTCTTGACAGCTTTCTTGGCGACAGCGCCAGCGGCCTTCTTGGGTTTCTTAGAAGGACCCGTTGCCTTGGGTTTCGCCGCCGCCGCCTTCACGGTGCCGGCCTTGGCCTCGCCGGGGGCCGCCTTCTTGTTGAGCCTGAAGGAGCCCGAGGCGCCGGTGCCCTTGGTCTGCACCAGGGTGCCCTTGCTCACCAGGCTCTTGAGGCCCAGCTTGATGCGGCTGTTGTTCTTCTCCACGTCGTAGCCGGCGGCCGCCAGCGCCTTCTTGAGCGCGGCCAGCGACACGCCGCTGCGCTCCTTGGAGGCGGCCACGGCCTGCACGAGCAGCTCAGACACCGAGGGGCCCGCGGGCTTCTTCTTGGCGACCTTCGCCGGCTTCTTCGCTTTCTTGGCGGCTGCCGGCTTCTCGGGGGCCGCGGAGGCGGCCGGCACGGGCGGCGCGGTCTCGGACATGCTGGGCGCGGACAGGGACGATGACAG